CCGCCCCCGCCACTCCCCCGCCCTCCCCAGGGCCCTGGGAAGGGGCGCAGCGTGGGAAAGGGATGGTTGAGTTTTAACCGGAGGCAGAGCGTGAGCCGGATCAGTGTGCGCGGAACGCGAGCAGCCGAGCGCCGAGTGTCGCCGCTGCTGTGAACTCCTCCCTGCCCGCCGTGTCGGCCCTCCCCGGAGCCCTCGCGCAGCCACCATGAAGCGAGCCCACCCCGAGTACAGCTCCTCGGACAGCGAGCTGGATGAGACCATCGAGGTGGAGAAGGAGAGTGCGGACGAGAACGGGTGAGTGGGCGGCTGCAGAGCGCAGCCGGAGCGGGAGGCGAGCGCGGGCCGTCCGCGGTGACAGCGGGCGAGGGCCCAGACGCGCCGGTGCCCTGCGCTGACCTCTGCGCATCCGGGGCCGGCCGCCGCCCGCGGTGAGGGACCCCCGAGGCGCTTTCAAGCCCAAGTTGCCAAAACAGCCTGAGTGCGGGGAGAGCCTGGGGGTGACCCCTCCTGCCACCTCCTCCTCCTTAACAGTGATTTCTGTTTTGTTTTGTTTTCCCCAATCATTCAGAAACTTGAGTTCAGCTCTTGGTTCCATGTCCCCAACTACGTCTTCACAGATCTTGGCCAGGAAAAGACGGAGAGGCGTGAGTCTTTTTACAGTGGTTTTTTTTTTTTTTTTTTTTTTTTTTTTTTTTTTTTAATTAACGGAAAGAACCACCTTTCTTCACTTTGGGATTTACAGCCGTAATGGAAATGTTCTCCTTTGTTTTTTGCCTGCTTTCTGCAGATCATTGAGAAACGTCGACGAGACCGGATCAATAACAGTTTGTCTGAGCTGAGGAGGCTGGTACCCAGTGCTTTTGAGAAGCAGGTAATGGAGAAAGTAGGTAGAACTGTCCACACCTGAATCCTTCCTCTCATTCATCTGAACCCCATCCGGGCCTTGGAAAATAATCATGTTGCTTCTGCCAAGGAGAGGAATTCATACACAGATGTCAACACATTTTGCGAAGACTAAAACACGTTTTGCTTTAGTCTGTACTGTTATGATGCACAAAGCACAAATATGCATGTAGATGTTAAGTTGTCCCCCAAGGGCATTTTGCTGCCAAATCAATCTTTCGCTGTTCCCTTCTCCAGGGATCTGCTAAGCTAGAAAAAGCCGAGATCCTGCAGATGACGGTGGATCACCTGAAAATGCTGCACACTGCAGGAGGGAAAGGTACATCTCACCAGTCGCCTGCGTGGGGCCCTGAGTGTTGGGGTGCAGGGAACCTCCGCAGGCCAGGATTGGTGCAGGCGCTGCCTTATTTTTACTGTGTGCTTTGGGGGTGGGGAGCGACCCAGTGTTGGTGTGTGCTGTGGCCTGTCAGTGCATTTTCAACTGCAAGTAGGTTTTTCTCCAGTGACATCATCACCCCAACCCCCTGCAAATTGAGCTAATGCACCTTCTTTTGGAAAATACTATGTGTGAGGTGCCCTAAAGTTGGGACAGCCCTGATTAAGAGCAGGTAGCTCTCACCACAGTTGTGTATTGCCATTTTGAGAATAAAGCTTTTTTTTAAAAAAATGTATATGGTCTTAATTTCATATACAGGATTATTATTATTATTTTTTAAATGAGCTGCCACATGACTTGAGGAAAGAAACCTGTTGTGGTTAAGCAGAGAAAACCCAACAAGGTGGGGGAATCGAGGTCTGTGTGCCTGTCTCCAGCCGGAAAATGCTCTCCTCAGGACCAAGTGCCTAAAAGCCCCATGACGATAACTTACATCTGTGTGTCTAATGAATTTCACTGCTCTGCGGTTTCTCTGCCCTTGATGTATTTTTTGTTGTTGTTGAGGGAAAACATTAAAAGAACGAACGTAGTTTCATCTGCTGGTAGGGTATAATTCCCATTTCTGCTCCGTGGCTTCTAATTGGGCTTTGAACTTGCATTAGCCAGCACATACTTCTGCTGATTAATGCCAAAATTTTGGTGAACTCCAAAATATTTGGACTTGCTGAAGAGCCCGTGAATGCCGTTTCTTAAGGACGTAGTTACTTGCCAGGAAGGGCTGCCTCTGGGGTCGAGGGCATGCGGGCAGCGAGCAGAGGTCAGAGGTTTTTCTTTTGTTCTTTGCCTCAGGCTACTTTGACGCGCACGCTCTGGCCATGGACTATCGGAGTTTGGGGTTCCGGGAATGCCTGGCGGAAGTCGCCCGTTACCTGAGCATCATTGAGGGACTAGATGCCTCCGACCCCCTCCGCGTTCGACTGGTGTCGCATCTTAACAACTACGCCTCCCAGCGGGAAGCGGCGAGCGGCGCGCACGCGGGCCTCGGACACGTTCCGTGGGGGAGCGCCTTCGGACACCACCCGCACGTCGCGCACCCGCTGCTGCTGCCCCAGAACGCCCACGGGAGCACGGGCTCGGCGGCCTCGCCCACGGACCCGCACCACCAGGGCAGGCTGGCCACCGCACATCCCGAGGCGCCCGCCCTGCGCGCGCCCCCTAGCGGCGGCCTCGGACCGGCGCTCCCGGTGGTCACCTCCGCTTCCAAACTGTCGCCGCCCCTGCTCTCCTCGGTGGCCTCCCTGTCGGCCTTCCCCTTCTCTTTCGGCTCCTTCCACTTGCTCTCTCCCAATGCACTGAGCCCTTCGGCTCCCACGCAGGCCGCAAACCTGGGCAAGCCCTATCGACCGTGGGGGACCGAGATTGGAGCTTTTTAAAGAACCGATGCTGTAGAATGAGGGGAGGGGAAAGCTTAAAACCCCAGCTGAGCTGGGCTGTTGCCAACATCACCTTAAAGTCGTCAGTAACATAAAAAGGAAAAAGGTACCATTTCAGATAAATTTTGTTGAGAGACTAAAGGTTTGTTGGTTTACTTTTTTTTAAATTTTTTTTAACGTCGTGTATTAGCAGTTTTTAAAAACTAGTTGTTAAATTTTGTTCCAAACATTAAACTGAAATAGTGAGTATAAACCAACACTTGGTGATAGGTTTGTACTGTGCCTAATTTACTTTGTATACCTGTCTAAGAATGATTCCATGTTTGCCTCCGAGTTTCCGGAATTCTAACATTTAGTATTTGGGGGCTGTTTTTCTCCTTGTATAGTTACAGTCTGTTTTTAGAATTAATTTTGCAAAGCACTATGCTCAATGTTAACATGATGCTACTGGTTAATACTTTGACAATGAAGGTGTTGTGTAAATATTCTTTTGTGGGGGGGGGAACTATATTGAATTTTATATTTCTGAACAAAGCGTTGACAAATCAGATGATTAGCTTTATCCAAGAAAGAGGACTAGTTAACTCTCTGCCTTCTGCAGCAGTGGGGTGAATGGACAAATTGTCGGGCCCGAGCCCATATGACCAATTGCTGTCCCCTGCCAGGACTCCCAGTTCAGGCTGAGTGAGGAGAGAGCACTTGTACCTTAGGTCTCCATTTGCAGTGGGCTGGGAGGAGAGTGGAGAGAATTGTGTAGAAGATGCCTGCACTTACCAGCCCCAAGCAATGCAATGCATTTTTAATCTCGCAGATCTCAAGTTCACAGATGTTAACACAGATTAGTGTGGGCAAGTGGTCAGTTGGCTGATTTCAGTGGAACCTGTTGAGAACACAGCCTAATCTTCCATCAGCCGTATTTTTCTTTTCACTGGAAATTTTTATGTTGTTTTTTCCTTTTTGGTGCATGGAAATGTGGCTGTGGAGATGTGTAGAATGGCTTTACTGACTTCTTTCTGGTTAATTTCATTGGATGTGGGCTATGAAAGCATCGCTTTACAGGTTTATCCCTTTAGCAGGTGTAGCTTAAACGACCTCCACTGAACCGGGTTTGACCTCCGCTGTACTGATGTGTTGTGACTAAATAAAAAAGAAGGAACAAACTATTCTGCTTACGTCTTACATACCTTGGCCTTTTTCTCTCTTGGCTAAGAAAAAATCAATTTTCTCTCGGTTTCATTTTGCCCGATCATCAGTTTTCTTCTGTTGAACAATTTCATTATTTGTGGAATTTTACACGGCGCAAATCTGTGCTATTGAATAAGGTGACTTCATTATAGGGCAGAGATTCGGCCTGACTCCCACAAGGGGACATAGCCCTGTAGCTGTTATTATGTCAGATGATCTGGCCCTAAACACCTCAACATGAGGCTGGACTTGCAGGGTGCAGAAGAACTACGATGAAATCTTACAAAACTGTTGACCAACAAATATTTGCTGAGAGCATCTCCTGTGTGCCCAGTTCTATACCGAGAGAACAGAAAATTTTCTTTCTTTTTCAATGGCAAAACAAGAAAAGCCAGGAGTTGCTCTCTCTGAGACCTTGGAATCTGTGGCATGATGAGCAGTGGCAGGCTGTAATTCCCCACCTGCACAGCTCCAGGAGGCAGCCTTGTCTTGTTTCCAAGGAATTTGTTTAACCCTTTAGTTGCATCTGAAGCCTGAGCTGTGTAGTGAGGAAGCTGAGGTATGCATCAGGTTAGAACAAAATGCTGCCAGAACAGAGGCAGGCAGGCGGTCGTCTGGGCCCCCAGGAGAGGAGTGCCTGCCCATTGCCTTAAATGTCATCCTCCTGCATTTAAGGAGTGTCCCCTCCTCGCTCGGAAGGAATTTGCCTTGATCCTGAGGGTGGTAGGGAAGAGAGAGAAAACCCACTCTGGCAGGTGACAAAGTAGAGCCTGACTTTTCTTTGCCCAACCCCTGAGCTCCTCCCAATCCCCTCTGATGAAAAAAACGAAGACAGGAAGGTGAAGAGAAGTTTGGACTTTGAACTTGAGAAGTGACTTCTGGGTCCCTTTGAAGGGAATGGAGACTGTAGTGTGTTTGTGATTGTGGATTTTGAGTGCTCCCACTCAACCTTTTTTCTGTGTGGCCTCAGACAGTCCCTCTTGTGAGGCACAGCTCTGTTCTGAGCACGTCCCGTGCCACCAGACACTCTCTTCTGTCATAGTGCTGTGATGCAAAGTGTTGTGACAATTTCTGCCAAGTGCCAGTTTAATTTTAGCAACTGCGATTTTAGATGACATTACAGCATTACTGAACAGCGTTGTGCTTACACTCTGAGACTCTCTTACTGGTACCCAGGTTTAGATGGCTGCTCAGGTGGCGAGGAAGGAGTAAAGCATGTGGCCTGTGTCACTTGTCACATCAGTGATCTCTATAGCCTGATCTAGCCAGTATGTTTTTTGTTTCTTTTTTGGAGGGTGTGTGCTGGGTCCTTTTCAAGATTGCATAGCTTTACAAAGAAGTACTTTGGTTTCTTTTTAAGCCCTTTCAAGGTGACAGGTTTGTGGAAATGGTGCAGAGAGGGTCAGACCTCCCTGGAAAACAGGATGGTATGATGATGATAAACCAGTGGCATGTAGGAAAAATGAATGTAAGAAAACTCTCATTTCTATTATAAATTGATGCGGTAAGAAAAAAATTATCAGAGTCATCAGTGCCAGCATACTCTAAAATGATACCTATGTTTGTAATACATCTACAAAAATTTTCTAGATGGCTTATAAATTTACCTTATGTATCACTGGTTGTAAGTAACCTCGAAAGACCTCAGTAATTACCCACTCATTTTCATTATATGCATTACCACGACTTAATGAAATGAAGGGTAGGAGAAGGGCAGAATTCTTGCATTTAAAAACACCTATAAAAGAAAAATCCCAGAAATACCGTGTCTACTTTATTCAATATAGTGAAATTAGGATGTGATTTTGATTCAGGCTTGCTTTGCTCCACTCTTACTCACTAAAATCATGACATTTTAAATATAGATTGCTAACATTTAAAACCCCTCAGGAAATATATCTCTGAGTTCTAATCCTTTTCCTCAGCCCTTCTGATCTATACCGGTATCACAGCTCTGATGCCTTTCATTAGTTTCCAATGATGATTTATAATTAAAAGAACTTCAGAGCTAATGTCATCGTCATCGGAGGCACTGCTTCAAATGTGGCCTCATTTCTTTCACAACCGGAGCTCTGGGGGGCGTTGGGGGAGGGAAACGGGGTATGTTGGGAAGAGGACCCGGATTTTGGTTCCTGCTCAGCTTTTACCTAATTGAGTGACCTTGGGCAAGTCATTGATAATTCTGTGGACCCGCTTTCCTCATCTGTGGGACAAAGTGATTGGACTAGATGGGGGTCTGGGTGCATCCTCATGGGAACAGGCGCCAACGGGGAAGAATGCAGGGGGCCGGGCTGGTGGCTGCCCAGCCAAGGAGCACGCATTCCAGCACCTTCTGTCTGAAGGCCAGTTGTTTCTACATAGGAGTTTTGGTCCAGTGTTGCTAGATCTTTCAAGCGTTCAAGAGCATCTCCAATTTTAGATTTGTGTGTGAAACTGTCCAGTTTGTTTAGGTTGGTAACTAATTTACCAAAACATGACTGCCAACAAGGTGGGGCCTCGGGCAGCAGCCATGTCTCAGCTCCTGGGGCTGTAATCCGAATGGCTCCCCGAGGGCTAGAATCTTCTCATATCCTTGTCATGCACCGCCCGTGACTATGCTCAGTGGATAAACACTCGGCTAACTTAAAATAAACAACTCAGTAATTAGGCAGCTGTAGGTGGTATGGAGTGGAGTTCCCTGTAAAGATAACGGGCAGGGGTTTCTGTAATTAATTCCAAGCCACCAAATTCCCTCAAGGGAGAGAGAAACTGAGGTCATTCATCTTGTTCTAAGTCTGGACATGTCACAGGAACCGCTGCTGAAGGGGCTGTCGATGTGGTCGTCATGGGCCCTTCACCCAGGAGGAAGTTGGGGTGTGTGGGGGGGGGTCGCAGCCTGGTGGGCTTAAATAAAAGAGCAAGTGTGCGGCGAGCTGGTGACTCAGCACCCTGAGCCAAAAGGCGCCGTCGTCTGATTTCAGGAAGTAAGAAGTCCCAGCCAAGAGCAAGCTGTTTGAACCTCAACTTGAAATATAACGCCCGCCTTGATCTGGATGGGCTGCAAGGCTTCTCAGCGATGACGCTTCAGTGTTCTGCTGTGGGGTGGGGGCAGGGAAGGGGAAGAAAGAAGGCAGGAAACCACCTCAGGCCTTCCTCTTGGCGCTGGGGTTGGGTCCTGACAAGCATTGGCAGCACAGCTGTTTCCCCAGGCCCACAAGTCCCAGAGAAAGGTGCTAAACGCTGTCCTGCCCGGATAGATGGGTCTGGGAGACGTGGGCAGGCTTCGGATTTTGTGTGAATAGGCTGCGATGCAATGCTTCTTTAGTTATGGGGTAAAATTTCCCGCCATGTTTATTCTTATGTTTGCATTTATCTTTAAGTGCTTTGTGTTGGGTTTTGACATGTACTCGCGTGAAAAGGCCAGGTCCAGGTTCGAAAACCTAATGATTCCTGGGCAGTTGTTAGGTGGTCTGTCGCTTGATTCAGCAGGAGACACTTGAAAACCTCATATTAGGCGGAAAGAGACTGGCTTTTACCCCCTGAAAGAGTTGATTACTGACAATTTTCTGTAGTTATTTCTAGTGTTGGGTGTTTTTTTTTTTTAAAATATCTCCCCTGGGGCATAGTTTTGTTTCTGGTGTATAGGAATGTCCCATAAATGTGGAGCTGAATCATCAAATTAAAGAATGACACGTCTGAGCCTTGAAGCGCCCTCTTCGACTTCATTTCCTACCACTCGCCCCTCCGTCACCCACAGGTACCCTTTCTGTTGCTGGAACATGCCAAATACGTTCTCACCTTCAGGCCTTGCGATGGGACTTTTCCTTCCCGCCTGGAATGTTCTTCTCCCAGCTAACTGCTAATCTGCTGTAATCTGTGACCTCCCTGGGGCTCTGCTCAAGGGTCACCTTCCCCATGTGGTCTCCCCTTCCAACCATATTTAAAACGCTGAACTACCCCTACCCCTGACCTACCTCCTGCCGCCCTCTACCCCTTTTGTTTTTCTCTGTAGTACTTAGCCTTATCTGACAAATCTGTACTTCATTACCCGTTTTCTGTTTTGCCTGGTTGGTTCACTTCTGTACTTCTGTCATGTAAGCAGCACCCCCGTAGAGGAGGCACCTGGTAAATACTTGCCGACTGAATTCGTGAATCCAGTCCACCCATTATCATGAAGCAGCAGAGCCAAACAGATCCAAACAGATGTCTTTATCCCCCCCACCACCCCGCCCCCAATCTTTTATTTTAGAAACTACCTGGGAAGGTAATGTCATGTTTTACTGAAGTATTTTCTCTTCACTATTATAAAAATCTCACTTAAAAAATTGTTTTAACTCAAATATAATTCTTTAAGCCGATTTCCTTTTTTGTGAATGCTTACGGGGGATGGAGGGACATTGGTCACCTGTTTTATATTCCCTACTAAAGACCGTTCTCTCCCTGAAGACATTCAGTTCTTAGATGCCACATACAGGTGAGATCATACGGTATTTGTCTGTCACTAACTTATTTCACTTAGTGCAATACCCTCTAGGTCCATCCATGGTGTTGCAAACGGTAAGATTTCACTCTTTTTTATGGCTGAGTATTCCATGGTATATATGCGGTCTGACAAGTTCACGAACTTGTTGCAAAGATGTTGCTAACCTTTTTTTTTTATATCAGAGGGATTATTCATTATGAACTTGTACCAACTGGACAAACAGTTAAGCAAGTTGACTATTTGGAAGTCCTGAAAAGGCTGCGTGAAAAAGTTAGACGACCTGAACTTTTCGCCAACAATTCATGGCTCTTGCATCACGACAATGCACCAGCTCACATGGCTCTGTCTGTCGGAGAGTTTTTAGCCAGGAAACAAATAACTGTATTGGAACACCCTCCCAACTCACCTGATCTGACTGGCCCCTAATGACTTCTTTCTTTACCTGAAGATAAAGGAAATATTGAAAGGAAGACATTTTTATGACATTCAGGACATGAAGGGTAATACGATGACA